CGCGCTGTACCGGGACGGTCCTCTATCGCTGCTGCTCCTGCCGCAGACGCCAACCAGCGCCGAGACCCTCGGGCACCTCTTACGCGACACCACATCGTCGGTTTTGTGTGGTGCTGACGACGGCACCGCTGCTGCCTCTGGAGGAAGCGCCGCCGGAAATGGAGTCGACCCGTCGTATCCTCGATGCCTTGTCGCTGTGGCGCCTGCACGACACTGCGAGACGACTCGTGCTACTGGCGCCAACGCTCGGTTCGGGGGCAACGTCGACTGTGCACCTCACGGGAACACCCTACTCGTTCCAGCAGCTTTTGTGTGGCGCGCTGCGCCAACGACGACCGCTCATACCGCTCGTGGCCGCCTATCCGACGTACGCTGTCGGTACAATGTTTACTGTCGAGCACGCGCCATGCCACTGGGAGACGCATTTTGGCCAGCTGGATGTCCGTGTGACGGTAGCTTGGTCGTCGCATTGGTGGCATGCCTCACGCTGAAGATAGACACCTGCCGACGTTGTGCCGCAGAGTATCGCAACAGCGCGATGGGTCGCACCGCCGCGCATCGTGGTACCGACCATGCCATTGCTTGCGTCATGCTTACTTCTCTCCGCGTAGGTCGGTCCTGTCGTTGGTCTCGTCACGGCGCGGAGTGCCCAACTTTTGATCGAACTCGATGGTGACGCGGTTGTGCTTGGCGAGGCCATGGACGTTGTGACCCAGACTCGGTCAGTCGCTTTGACTTGCTTGTCCATCGTCTCCACATCTTCTTGTAGGTATGTCTGCCGCCAACGGCTCTATCGCGCCGAGCCTGGCGTACTGACGTTTGACAATCTGCAGCCGCAACGGCGGTACCGTGTAACGCTGCCGGCAAGCACTTGCCATTTCGAGTTGCATTGTGTCAAGGTGCTGGCTTTCACGTAGGGTCTGCTGGGCTGCGACGCACTGATCTATGTCCAGACGCCGCAAGAACGAGCGCCGTCGTTGCACGTGACGTGGGTCGGTGGCGACGATGCCTTTGGCAACCGAGCTTTTCAGCCGGTGCAATCGTTTTGGCCCGACTACCGCGAAAGCATGACGACGTGGCCGGCCACCGACGTTACGGTGCTCCTCCATCGGACGTCGCTGAGCCTCGAGTCGATCCGCGCCGCGATGGCGCACTGGCGCGGCGCACCGACGGCGGCCGAGAGCGTCGTCAAGCAGTTGTTTCGAGCGGCCTTTCTCACGCAGTGGACTGCGCAAGACAATGCGGCGGTCTTGGCGCATGGCAGCCACTGGTTTCTCAGTACAGGCTACGACTGGAGTGCGGTCAACGAGCCGATTAGCCGCGACGTGGTTGTGTGGGCACGCGACGTTGCCTTTCAATACCAGCGCCACGGTCTCTGGCCGACGCTCGATCCGTTGCGCCGGTTTGGCTACCACTGCCAAGACGGCATTGGCTTCTTGCACATCGATGTGCTCGAACATCGCTTGGCGACAGACGAAGTCTACCTCTGCAATGTACTAAATCCTAGCTAGGATTCCCGTCGTACTAATGTCAAGTAGACCCCGGAGCTTTTGAGCCCGACGCAATGGCAGCTCGTCGAGGCCGTGCTCGTCCAGTCAACCGGCATTCGCTGCACCGTGGTGTCGTGCAGCACGCCAATAGTGTGGCATCGACATCGACACAACGTCCCGTCTCGCTATATCGGACTCGAGTGGGTTTTGTACCCGGCCGAGCAAACGCGCCTTTTGTCATTAGTCTTTTCTTGGAAAGCTGCGGTAAAGAACCTGTGTGCGACTGAAGAGCGCTGCTCATGGAGCGACGGTAGGTACCGGGGCGCGACCTCCTCTTCGTCTGTGCGGGGCCTCGAAGTGCGACGACAACACTGGTACACGAGGGTGTCTCGCTGACTCAAATCGTCGTCGGTCCCGTCGCCTGCGTTGTGGACGACCTGCCGACGCCGCCAGACGCGAACGGCGCGCTCTGCGACGGCACAATTGCCTTTGCCCACGACTTTGGCGCGTCGCCTGAGTATACAAGCACGATCTTGACGCCGCATGCAACACAGGCGCGGTGGCGTCTCCACCGATATATGCTGGCGCAGCCCAACGCCAAGGTACCGTGTTTCCATCGCTCGTCATGATGTCAGAAATGCCGTACTGCTAGATTCTTGTCGGCCCCGTGCTCGGCAAGCTCACAGCGACATCGGTTCGGATCCTGATTGAAGTCGACCGTGATGTCAAGACGTGCGTCTGCGTCTGCACGAAGCTACACGCGACCGACCGGTGCGCCATATCTAAATACAGTCCCCACGAGAAAACGGATGTAGCATCACGGCTTCGAGTG